CCCTCTTAAAAAATTTCGAAAAAATCACTTCGGAAAAAGCTTCCTGCGTTCTTCGTCTTTTAACGTTGTTTCACGTTTTCAGAACAGGTATGTGAACGATATAGTTCAAACAGAAACCAAGAAAAATTCACAATGGCAACGGTAAAAACGTACTTCATGTTCACAGTTTTTAATGCAATAAGGTGCAAGTTCTTATTTAGATACAACAAATCATCTAATTTCTAAACTGAAGCCTTCCCTTCACGCAAAGATATCCTTCCAAACATCAGAAAATGCTTTCTAGTACATATAATATCTGCGCTTCAACACCATGTTCAGAATCATGCGACATCTATTGAACCGCAAAGACATTGTTCGAATTCGTATTCAACGAACTGTGCACAGAAGAGAAAAAAAATTATCCTTGGCAGCCATTTTTGACAGATACACTGTCAAAAAAAAGTGTCTTGATAAACCACTCGACTGGCTTAAAAATGCTTCCACAGTGCGTTTTGAAGGCACGTTAGGTGCATTATCTCCTCTTTTTACTGTTAGTCGCCTTAATGTCTTCGAAAAAACACCTCTAAGTCGTGGCTTTTTTCGAAATAAATAGCTTAGGTGCATTTGATAGACATCACTAATATATCAAAAACGCACAATGCACTAGCTACAGTCAAGCTCCTTAATCACCCTTTTGATATGATTTCTATTTATCATTTCTTACAATGCCTTTAACAGTTTTTTATTGGGTTCAATATAAATGTTTCATCTTATTGTACTGTAACTGGGTCATTTTTAGTTTATTAACCGCCTTTTTTTTTATTTGTTGCTTGCATATTTAACTTTGTCACATGTTAAAATAAAATGTTTTTCGTAGTAGCTTACTTTTATAAGGCTAATCCCGCGTCTTAAACGCATCCTCAATGTCTTAAGGACATCAGGATGTCTTATTATATGCATCAAAAATGCATTTGATTTACACGGGAAAAGATATTCAAAGTGTCTTGACTCAACATCCACGATGTTTCACCAAGATGCTGCGGGCACATAAAATTGGAATCCAGCCGCTTTCGTAAGGCGTCGCAGCGCGTCTTTTACATGGAAATTTCATCTTACTGATCAAAAACGAAGTCATCTTTGACTCGCGTCAAGTGCATTTTTTATTCGTAAATGCACCTCTTTTTTCACAGTGTACCTTTATACAACGTGTCCCACTGCACCATTAGCCAGTAGGTAAAGAAAAAATATATGTCGCTATGCCATTATCATAGGAGGCAGTGCGCGATAGGGGCGAACTAACTTGCTCAATGAACTTTCACACTGTGAAAGTGGTAATTTGAGAAACATTGAATGTTTCTCAAATTATCAGAGCAGATAGAGAAATGTGTCCTGAACATTTTTTTCGAAAGTGCTTTCACTCGACGCTAGAGCGCTGCCAAAAAGTTGAAAAAAGCGATTATTCAGTCGAAAAATGTCAAAAACGGTTAACACACCTCGGAAAAACCTGAAAATTTTTCTTTTAAAATTCATTGAATTATACGTCATTCGACGCAGGATGAAATTATACGTCTGAATATGTATAAGGGACGAGGCGCTTTTCTATTAGTGTACGAAGTTGTTAAAAGTCGTCATTTTCGATAAAACTATCCTTATTACTTTATTCACTAGTATCCCCAACTGGCACCTGAAATAGATTTAAACCACACAAGTGCATAAATCTTGAAATGTTGATTCTATCACACGTTTTTTCAGTGATATTGATCCTTATTATTATGTGGAAAATGTCTCAGAAAGGAGACTTCTGTGCAAGCCAGTTGAATTTTCCCCCTTTGTATTTTTGTTCATGTTGATAAACTCTACTTGCGTAATGGCAGTTCATATATAGAAAGAATGTATGAATGATGCCGCATCCCGTCACATTAATCTCGCACAACGAACAATGATTGAAAGGAAAAAACTCTACACTAGAAAATGTCGCATATTTAAGTACTACAACTTAGGTTTAGGACACCCGACAAAAATATGTTCCCGCTGGATCTCAAGGACTGTCAGGATTTGTAGAGAAATGTCTCTGCTATCGTACCGTATGCTTTACTTTCATTGGAAAAATAAATAAGTACAACCATTCGTGAAAATACCATTAAAGTACTGTTATTTCTGGAGAACCGCACAATTTAAACGTGACCGTCGTTTATAACAGCTGTCTTTGAGTAACTATTAAAAGCCAATACTTTAAATTCACATCGTAGTTAGAGGAGGATCATGGCTACATTTTAGTAGGAACAGAAAGTGTTCATCACCTAAAGTCAGAAGTTATTATCATTTTACGAAAAAAAGATGCAACGCTTATATCTTACGGAACATCCAGTCAAAGAGGCCCAAACTGGCTGAGTAGTTTGTATTCAGTGAGGGCTGTAATCATACAAAAGTGTGAGGTTCAAAACTATTATATTTAACTCGTGATTCGACGGGAACATATTTTTGTCAAGCGTTCTAAATCTAGGTTGTAGTAAATAAATATGCGAATTTTCTAGTATAGAGTTTTTTCCTTATTGTTCGCTATCTGAGATTAATATGTGACGGGATGTGGCATCATTCATAGATTCTTTCTCTATATTAACTATCATTACGCGAGTAAAGTTTATGAATATGAACAAAACATACAAAGGGGGGAATTCAATTGCCCCTACTGTAGTTTTCGCTGTTTTGATGTTTTGCAAAAGCCGTTCTTTCGATCCATTTGATTTTTGAATTTGAATTTTTCTTCTTGATGATACTTTAATAGCACTAGTAAGCAGAATTTGCGGCCAAAATTTAGGCTCCCAATTTCACTTATTCGTCGAGAAAATGGCCGGGAAAGGAGAAAATTTCAATTAAAACCGAAAATATCGGCCTCTTCGTTGACACAATCATTGTTTTAAAGATTTTTAACGAATACTTTGTTGATAATAGCTTTACACTATTTTGGATGAGATATGTCTCCAAGTTTAATGATTTTCACTTATAGTCAATGCTACTCAGTAGCACTCAGTAGCGTCAAGGAAGATTGTCTGCTTGTTTTGATGCCAAGTTACGAGATGATGGTTTGAGATGAGTCAGGTGAGATTCGTCGGATAATGGACGAAGTGCTACATGCCTGGAGCGTGTCTGACATTGAATGAACATCTTGCACATCGATGGAGTAAATTCTAGTTTTGAAAATTATTCTACGATACGAAGGATTTGACGTTGATCTTTGAGATTATAAAGATATCCGAATTGATTTCTTTCATTTTTCGAAACAAGGACAATTCGATTACTAGAAGAGTCAGTAAGGAGAGCAAAAATTCGAATAATCTAAAGAAAACTGTCAAGGACAGAGGAATGACTCTTGAGAAAAACTAATTAATCATCGATTTTCTAGCTCTAATCCATGCCTCTATTCTCCATGTAAATATTTAGATGCGTTTCATTTTGTGTTGTGTTAGTTACGTGAAACAAACGATGGATTGAACTAAAAAGCAACCAGTTGATGAAAAACTTGGTTTTTGAGACGTTTTTCAGTATTTTTCCTGGAACTCGACTAGGAAAGGTCTTAGAAATTCTTTCAAAAGTATATCTCAGCGTTATGGCCTTGAGTACCTCTGGTTCATAGAGACCCCAAGTGAAAATCGAATTTTTCAGAAAACTGCTGAACGGCAATAGTTAAAAACTTGAGAAAACGATAAAGTGCCTCATTCAGTTCCCAATCAGTTCTGCAAAAATGAAGCCTTAGTGACTTTTAGTTTTTATTTCACAGCATTTCGACGGAAAGCCTAAAAAGAGGAGAGGGGAACTATCTTTTGTTTTTCTCTGTTTCATCTACTCAGATGTAGGCTTTTTTATGTACCATGGCTTATTCGAATATAATTGAACGGAACTGTTATTAGATCAAATGACAGAACCGAGTTCGAGTTACTTACGAAATTTTCAGTTTTGTAAGAAACTCACATGAAATGGATTATAGCATTTAATGCAGATTTTTAAATTTTTTCGAAAAACAGACATTGCGATAAATCTCAGCGTAGTTGATAACCAAGGTTTCCATTCATTTTTCTCATGCCATCTCAGGCTAATTGTGAGACACCACAATACTACGTCCGAATGCCAAAAAAACTGAAGAGATCGAAAGATTCTGATTTTGAAAGCGACACTTGGGGCTATGTATCTCCGTACAAGCATGACTACGCTTCTTTCGATCAAGAGTGGTTTTGTAGAGACCCAAAACCCCGTAAACTTGAACAACAGACTCTAATTGATTTTGAGTCAGTCATGTGAAACTGTGCATTATTTTGAGTCTGTTCTAAGTTTTATACACAGAAAGATAGAAAGAGATAGAGAGAGATTTAGGATTATTCTAGGATGTATATCTCGTCATACATAGCAAAGTTGAAGATGAGGCAGTCTGAAAGCTGTTCTTGTAAAAATGCATTAGTGTGAAATGTTATGCATCAGAAAAGAGTCGGTTTTCGATCCGATTCGAACTCAACAAACAAGAAACTCATTTTGGGCATTTCGCGCTATCTATCGACGTATAAGAACGACTACGTTTCTTTCGAAATTTTTGGGTATCAAGAACGATTTTGTAGAGGCTAAATATTCTATTTTCGAAAAAGTTGCTGAAGTTTTAAACAAAAACAAAAATGAATTTTTTTGAATAATAAAGTTTCCACGATGTAACGTTTTCGAAACACGATCAGTCGATAAAATATTTTAATAACTCCGAATGAAAGTAAAAAAATGTTCTATCGATTGGTAATTAACTTAAAATAGACATTGTACTAGCGCTAACCCATTGATTGAACTTTGAAGGTTTTTGCTGCATATTATCCTCTATCTTATACTCTCCTTATATTTCGAACTATCGTACAGGATCTGAAAAGTTAGAATCTTTTTCTCACTCTCTCATTTTCTATAGTTGTAGAATAAAACAGGCATTCTGTCTGTTTCAAGAAATATAAAAAAAAACCGGCATGTGTATCTTGATTAGCTAAACTAATAGTTTATGAATAAATAATTTTTGCTCGTACATGTGTTAAATCGTGTGTACACATGAATTCACATTTTTCACATATTTCAATACCACATGAACATTGATATCGAATACCAACAATTGGATTCATTGCACATAGTGAACATTGTGTATTCAGATGTACAAGAGCACATCTGTTTTGTAGTAAAATTGAATTTGAATATTGTGTTGAATCTTTGATACATAACAATGGATGATCATCATTCAATTGGCATTGATTACAATAATCAGTATTTGGACAGAGTAAACATTTGTATCGAACACCTTTGATCGGCGTCATATTACAACGATCACAACTCACATTAGGATGAGTAATATCCATTTTTATACTGTTATTAGTTGCAGCATGTTTACTCTTGTTGAGTTCATTCAATAATCTTTGATATTCATTTTTATATTGTTCCAATTCCAATTTTATTTGTTCTTGACTACGATCACCAAATTCGACTTTTCCAATTTCAATTGTTTGTCCAATAGTGTTCAATCTTCCGGTAAGAATTTGTTTTTGTTCATTAAATTGACCATAGTATTTATAAATTGTAATCATGACTGTTGTTACACCCGTGAATGATCCGGTTTGTTGTCGATTATTAGCATAGCTTACGTTAATTAAGTAGGTGCCATTAATAGCTTTTCGTAATAAATATTCTTTTAATCCACCTGTTCGTTGATTCATCATTCCACCAATGAATGTTTCAGAATGATATTGTGAACAATTTTCACTTGTTGGTTCAGTGATAGATAAATCAATCATTGATTCACTTATATCCCATACAAGAACAATTCGTAAATCACAGGGTAAATGACGAATTAATCGAGGATCAATAATATTAGGATGATGAGTAGATATTGCTAATAAACAATTAAGTTCATGTAAAACGGGTATTTCAAAATCATAAAATCGACTTATATCCCATTCACCATCAATGATCTTTTGAAATAGATAAAAGATTTCATCATTATCCTTATTACTAGTTAATAGTACAAGTGCTAAATCACGATAAGATTGTGGTTCATCTGAATGTAGATTAAGTATTTTTCGAAAAAGATTTTCAGCTAAATTATTCAAATTCATTTCAGTTAATTTATAGGCAACAGTACGCAATAATTGTACGGATTCTAATTCCAATTCTAAAATATTTGTTAATATACGTAAACCGTATAAATTACTTTTTTCATTTGTTGTTAATATTGATGATTGTATATGAACATTTGTACTAAAAGAATTTAATGTATATTGATTATTAAAAATATCCAATGATGTTTGACCAATTATTGGTGATGATAGAAAATAAGATGCAACATCAAAATAAAATGATGGTGATTGACGATAAGTCTGACGTTCCGATAAATAAATTTCATAGGCACCATCTAAACTACTTGATGATTTTATTCTTGACATATACGGTGCTTGTGGATCATACTCTTTTAAAATGATTGTACTATTTGAATCTACAGTTTTGTTTTCAGGAACAATTGCTGATGAAAAAGCACCTTGTGAACTGATTATATTGCTACTATTTGCTGCTGTTAAAGAGAAAGAATTGTTAGTCAACGATGGTGCTGCTCCAAATGCAAATGTAGAAACATTTGTCGTGCTTTGTGCAGGTATTGAATTGCCAAATGCTGAAGTAAAAGGAGATGTCGTAGTCGATCCAAATGTATTTGAAAATGTGGAGGATGTAGTAACTGGTGCTGCTCCAAACGAAAATCCAGAAATACTTGTCGTGCTTTGTGGAGTTATTGAATTGCTGAGTAATGAAGAATAAAAAGGAGTGAATGGAACACCAAAACCACCGACATTTGACTTCGATTTTGTTGAAAATTCTTTCCACAAATAGCCTCGATGATGATCGGTATCCGTTATCACCTTGTCATACCATTGACATCGTTGTTGCCATGAATTCAACAATCTAGTAAATTTATTCTGTTTATTTAGCTCAGTTGTCTGTCTATGCTTCATATAGTCATTATATAATTTTGTTCGCGATTTAGCCGGACATATTCGATATTGAATATGTTGTTGAAGTGTTTCTAAAACCATTATCGACGTTAAATCTGTGACAATTGAATATTTCATACCTAAACAAACGAGGATAGAAATATCAAAAATGAAAAGAATTTATACATGTTTTCTAACCGATATCTAAAATTATTTGTTTATTTTTATCTTTAAACACGGATAATTCTTGTAGTTTTTGTTGTGCCCATAATCGACGAATTAAACCAACGTTGATTGATGACTGATCAGATGGATTCAGAATAAATTGCTGACGATGAATTTGATTATTTATATTGAATTCTAATTCAATTGTTATCGATGTTGACAAAGATAAAAGTTTTCCAACAATTAAAAATCTTCCTTGATTAGGTGTTAGTATAACTGAATGACTGGGATAGATATCTTGAATTAAATTTTGATTAACATTTGTCGTTAAATATTTTGATTTAATACTATTGATCCAATCTATGATTGATGATATATCATCATTCATTTTATCTCGTGAAATATAACCACCAGAACTTCGTTGTGTCAAATAATTAATTAGTGAATAATTCACCGGTTCATAGAGATAATTTCCATTAATGATCCAAATAGGAATTGAACACATTTTATCGTACATTGATGGATCATTGTCATTTCCAATTGTTGATAAACAATCACTAAACAGAAAATAATGAGTAAAAGACTCATTATCAACCATTGAGGATAATTCACTTAAATTTGTAGCACCATCATAATGAATTGTTTTTAAATAATTTATTAGTTCTAATAAATCGTTGTTATTAGTTAATTGAAATATTTTTTTTTCATTAATAACATTGCGAAAAATGACAAGAGTTAATTTTAATGATATACTATTTGAGAGCCAAATTTTCAATAGTTCATTTAATAAATTTATTTCTAAATTACGATTATCAATAGTTGATCGACTTAAACTTGCGTCCCAAAATGCACAAATAGTTTTTGATGTTGTAAAACTATTAAATATAGTTTGTTGGGGTAATGTTGGTACATAATTGATAGCAAAGTAAGCTTGACTATGATTATCAATATCCGTCTCTATTCCATATATTAATTGTTTATTAACATTTGGTAATGTATAAGAAATTATTTGATCACCAACAACCGATTCAACATTTGATAAATGCCATTCAGCAATCCATCGACCATCTGTTTGAACAAATTCATGATCATTAACTAATAACTGTGGCTTTATTTGATTATTTGGAGTTTGAATACACATTAATGTGATATCCAAACTATCTAATTTATTATTGTACTGTACGGGAATACTCAATACAATATCTCCCAATTGATTAATTTGAGCTTGATCTTGATAAATTACACGAACAGTGCGTGTCTGATTTGGGAATATAGGATAAACACGTGTACGAAATACCTTTAAATTAATAACACTAATAAGCGCATAGATTAGAGAACAAACGAAGAAGACGTTACATTTCCTTGTACCATTTCGACGAAACCCGGATCAACACCTTTGCGAACTTCCTTTTCAAATGTAATACGAGCTTTTTCCTTTTCTACAACAACCCCATCGACAATCGTACCATCGATATCAAGACCTAAAATAAATATTTGGATAGACGTCTCATCTTTTCAACTAACGTAAGAAGCCATATTTTCCAGTGATGGTCCAATTTGAACTCGCTCAACTCTGATATTACTCACCATAACCACAAATGGTAGCTGTTTCAGGCAGTGTAAATTCGAGTGCTCCTTCCACAACCAAATGATGTGTATTCTTAAAAGTCATTGTCGTTGAAACTTGATGTAAAAGTGCAAACGATGCATTGGTTAATTGTTCAATGCGTAATTGTATTAAATTTAATGGTGAAGATGCTTGATCGCCAAGTTTTCTAGCATGACCAAATAGCATTGGAAAAACAGGACGATTACTCATACTATTATTGTTGGTTATGCTCGGGAAATTAAACATAGACATGGTGCTGTTAAGGGATCTAAAATCAATGCTTGTTAAAGGAAAAGAGAGGCCGTAAGGAATTTATTAGCATATTGAGACATTTTTAGAACAACTATCATTTTTTTCTTCAGTGTATTATACTATTAATCACTGTTGTATTACGGTTAGTGATGCGATAGAATTCGGTATTTTTTCGAGAAAAGCTTTGTGATTTCTCCATTTTAATATGCCTCTTACGTGTTAAAAACGGCAAAAGTTCTATATAAAATGAGAGACCCTAGGCATACATCCGAGTTTCACATCTCAACAAAACCGAAATAGATTGTACAAATCTCATAGTCGAATTCAGCATAACAAATAGCTATACTGTTTGCGGGCATCATCCCCGGATCTGCTATTTGCATAACCAGACTAGCTCTGCAAAATGAAGTTGGTGTAAAAGTTTACGGCGATGTAATGAACTGTAACGATGTAACAAACTGAACGACAAAGAGAATTTCTTTTTTGACTGAAATGTGTGGGTGTACATTCGAATATATTCCATCGCATCACTAATTACGGTACGATATTGAAATTACTGGCAAAGTCAGTTCTTTTATTTTTCTTTGTTCTTCGTATTTTCACTTAAGCAGAACAGTAATAGTCGGCGACATCCGTGTTTTACACGATACCGTTCCTGGCTACAATAGAAGGTAGCGATCACCGAATTTCATGGGTACTTGATGAATTGAGATGTTTACCAGTAGAATCTTTCGATGAAATTTCTCTTTTGGTAACCGAGTTTAACAGAAAAAACGATTTCTACCGCAATCACAACTCCGTTTCGACACGAGTTAACTTTTCAGCCGAATGACTAGTGCAGAAACATTCATAAGATACTGTAGATAGTCCTAAAGCGGCCACCGACCGAAGAGAACTATGAACGTTGTGCTCGATTCAATGTCACGAAAGGTCGTTCGCAGATATAAGTTCCTACAAATCAAGGGACTAAGCGAGCGTAGATGAACGTTACCTTGTAGTGTACACAATGTCTTACAGAATGGTTATCAGTGGGTTGCTGTATGCGACAAATATGGAAAAATGGCTGTTGGATATTCTATGGCAACCAATCATAAGAGCGAGCATAAGCATTATTCATTATTACGTCGTAGAAATGTATTAAACGATCAAAGCACAATCACATATTATCTGCAAGTACACAGAATCTACTACAAATAAATAATAAAATAAATTTATCAGAGGGCGCTACAGTACGGCATGATGTAAGCAAGGCATTGAAAATGTTAACCATTGTATTACTCTAGCTGAGCAGTGGAGGAGGAGTGTTTGAAGAATAGAATGTAATGTTTGCTTTCAAAATTTCATTTATTATTATTAATAGAAATATAGACTAGAATTTGCATGAATTATATGACAAGTAATTTTTTCGGAATGCTTCCATTCACATTCGCCCCCCATTACATCACATACGAGCCGCAAAAATGTCGACACTTGTGTCGTATAGAGCATAGAAATTTACATAGAATACACACTTGTTAGCTAAAAAACTCATATTCCACATGTCTGCTTAGGGATGTCAAGTTTTGATTTCTCTTAAAATGAATCGCTTAGATCCGACTGCTGTCAAACGTCCTTGAAACGTAGAAACTACTAGAATTAACTAGTTTCGGCACTTTCTCGCCCTAGAATCATTGAAAGTTTGCCAGCAGTCGGATCTTTGCGCCATCTACGATTCTGAAGGACTTTTAACGGATAGAGCACACTCGAAAATCTATAAAACTGTCAAAGAGATTCAATTGATGCTTTTTCATCACAAATACACAGCAGATTTTGGACTTTATGCGACGTTAGCGCCCTATATCGTTCGAAAGTTGTTCCACTAGCAACACGATTTGCGAAAACCTATACAAATGTCGAAGGTTTAGAGGTGTGCATGTCAACCAAGTTTTCAAGCGAACTTCTTTCTACGAGTTGAAAATTCGTCAAAGTGATCATAAGTTCATCGGGCAAGCCTATAATACCATCAAAGACAGCCTGCTTCAATGATATATGTTCAAATTGTATAGTTTTTTTTGTCGACAGTTTTTCTAGTTTTTTTCGTTTAGGTGGTAGAACCGTTTTAATATTTTTTTGTAATCCAAAAAGGTTTCAAGAAATTATGTTGCGGTGCGTGCGAGTGAAAATGTCAAGTTCTTCTTGTATTTTTATTTTAGCATCAGAATGTAGTTCATATAACAAAAAATTTGGTACAAAAAAGTCCACATGACGGGTTTCGAATGGTTCTTCAAGTGTGAACGTAGTTCGGAGAACAATAAAATGTTTTTCGTTCACATGTTATGTATAGTAAGTACGGGCGATTGATTTTACCATGAAAATTAGCATGTTTCAATGATGTATGTTGA